AATTGCCAACTTCAGTTCAATGGTTACGAATTTAGTCGCCTTCTTGGAGAACGCCGGTGCCGTACCTCACCTTTCAAACCCCACATTGCTTGATGAATTGGTAAGTAAATTACCACTTTATAAACGTGAAGAATGGGCACGTCACACATTTGCAATAAATAAGCCATATCCAACAATTTGCGAATTCAATTCGTGGTTGCAGCAGATGTCGTTGTTATTGCAGCAGAATTTAACTCACCACACATCAGCTCCGATAAACCACCACGAAATTGTAATTCAAGTAGTAGATTAGTAAAAACAGTGCTAGCCGTATCAGAAGAAAATTTGAAATGCGTATTATGTAAAGACAACCACCGATTGTACCAATGCTTGAAATTTAAAGATTGTAATAACGACAAACGATGGGAGATCGTAAAAACGAACCGCCTTTGCTTTTGTTGCCTTTCTCAGGGCCACAATGTTTAAAACTGTCCGCGACGTCGCGCGTGCGGCGTATCGTTGTGCCAAAAATCCCACAGTAAATTGTTGCATAATGAGATCACTAAATGTGCCAATACTGGCAACATCGTGCCTGCTGAGTCAGCTGTTGCCACCGTAAGCACTTGTCGCCCTCTAGTAAATGACAAGAAGCAATCAACGAATGCGAGTAAGGAGAGAGAAAATGTAAACAAAACATTGCTGAAATTTCTGCCTGTGAAGCTGCATGGACCAAAAGGAAGTATGCAGATAATTGCATTTATAGATGACGGAGCTAAAGTAACATTGCTTGAAGAAGAAATCGCTAATAAAATTGGTCTTACAGGTAGAAAAGACCTGCATTTAAAATGGTTTGATGACCAAACTACAAGAGGTTTCGATGCGTGCAAATTTAGAAATTTCAAGCGTGAATAGCAACAAGAGATTTGACATGAAAGGCGTGCGAACAATAAAAAAGTTATTGTTGCCTCCGCGAACATTATGCGTAGAGAATTTTGCGCATCAGTTCGAAGAACTAAATGACATACCTATAGAAAATTGTTCTGATGCAATTCCTAAAATTCTGATTGGAATGCCGCATACGAATTTGGTACGCCCTTTGAGTGTTGTAAATTTCAACGAAGGGTTTACAGTACATGAAACCAAATTGGGTTGGACGCTATTCTGTTCAGACGAAAATAATTTTAATAATTCTACAGTCTGTCACGTAGATATCAATGATCAGGGTATGAATGAAATACAAAAACAATTAGATGATTACTTTGCGCTAGAAGGGTTTGAGCCAAAGTTGCCTGTTATAAAGTCTGCTGCTGACATTAGAGCGGAAAGTATTTTGAGCAGCACAACTAAATTTATAGGTGGTAGGTATGAAACAACCCCTTTCTAGCAGTCGTCGCAAAATCGTCTCAAAACTTTGCTGGTGTTGCCAGACATTTCTTCTTTGCGTGCTTTTTTATATGTCGCCTTTCGATTTTGTTTCTGAAAAATTGTAATTATTTAACTTAATTACCAATTCCTAATATTTGTTATTTCTTTTCCTTGACTTATTTCTTTTCATCAGAAATTGCGCTCAAATTAAATGCAAATATAGAAAACGTGCCCAATAAATAAAAAAATGCGATTAGTATTGCCATAATGCAACCCTGCTGCGAGGTTGCAAAATGTAGACGCGTAAAAAACATACCTTTGAGTGTGACAACATGTAGACGGCGTCGTTTTCCAATTTTGTATGGGAAACAACAACACCACAGATTTTACGGTTAGAAAACGTCTTAAAATGTAGACGTCTACATTTTGAGACACTATTTGGAACGAACTGTGAACACCCCAAATGTAACTGTACCATATTCTTATGATGTAGCATTAAGACGACTTAAGCTTGTTGAACAAAAAATGTTACGCGATTCGAGTTATGCAGAATGGTACAATGCGAAAATAAATGAATACATAAACAAGGGTTATGCTAGAAAGCTATCTTCGACTGAATTGCCGAATGAACGTGTATGGTATTTACCCCATTTCGCCGTTTATAATGTAAACAAGGGCAATAAGCCTAGACTTGTGTTTGATGCCGCCGCTAAGATCAACGATGTTTCACTGAATTCTATGCTTATGAAGGGTCCAGACGATTATCAAACACGAGCTTTACAATCAATTTTGTTTAAATTCCGCGAGGGTATGATAGCCGTTTGTGGAGACATTAGAGAAATGTTCCACCGCATTAATATTATTGAGGAAGATCAAAATTTTCAACGTTTTCTTTGGCGTAAAGATGATACGTCAAGGCCGCCGGATGTGTATGTAATGAAGGCTATGATTTTCGGTTCGATTTGTTCTCCATGCTCTGCTCAGTTAGTTAAAAATCTGAATGCGTTGAAATTTAAACATGAAGATCTGCGGGCAGTCGAAGCTATCATCAACCGTCACTACGTTGATGATTACGAGGATAGTTTTCCTGGGGTTGACGAGGGCATAAGCGTAACGAAAAAAGTGATTGAGATTCACAGCAAAGCTGGGTTTGAGTTAAGAGGTTTTATATCCAATTCTAGCGAGCTATTGAGAGCTATAGATTGCTATACGGAGTATCAGGGTGACTCGAAGAATAAGTGCGGTTCAGAATCTGCTTACGAAAAGGTACTTGGCAAGCACTGGAATCCCAATTGTGATGTATTCTTTTTCAATTTAGTGTCTGCGAGAGTACCGAAGTCAGTCTTGGATGGTACGCGCCGACCGACAAACGCTGAATTGTTGGGTTTAACAATGTCGATTTTCGATCCATTCGGCTTTCTCCCTAACGTTATGTTGGTGCCAAAAATTTTGTTACAAAGATTGTGGAAGGTGAATATTGGTTGGCATGATGCAATACCTGTTGATATCTACGACAAATGGTATCAGTGGTACACAATGCTCGACAACTTAA